GTGCAAAAACGATTCCCCCGATAATTGTTCCGTAAGATGATGAGATGGTGTACTTTCGAAAGCACCGTGTACAACTGTTGCGTTCACACCTTTTTTTGATGAAAACTACTAAACGAGTTCTCTTTCTCTTCCACCCTGATCAATGAATCTAATTAACCCCTATCCCACTTTATCGCTTTTCGTTTGCATCTCAAATATGCATGACCGCAATCACCACGGCTCATCTAATCACATATTTCCGACCGGGAATAACTACCAAAGCTAACGACCCGCATTCAAACCCGCTGAAGTTCTTGATCGCCAGCTGTTGTGGTTAGAGCAATCACGATGGAGATAAAAAGCAAATTAGAAAGTTGCAACTTAATCGCTTGCTACCCCCATAATTCGTTATTATGCGTCCACAGATGCACGTTTCCTTTAAATTTAAGCGATGATCCTGAATTCTATCACACATCAAACTAATATAATTAAAAACGGAATGCATTTGAAACTCTAATTATCTCGAAGTGGAACATGAAGGCAAATTTAATATCCTAAGTCGTTAGCTGTTCTGGATTTACAACGATCACGGTTACGACCTAACAACGTACCATGTGCACTCATTTGTGGTTCCAGGTGGAACAATAAATGCTAATTACTTCAATCGAGTTGATAGAATCTGTGATTCGCAACGGTTTTGTAAGATCAACAATCGTATTCACTTGGTTGTCATCGTTACCAGCGAGGACGTAGTATGCTACACCTAATAGTTAAAAACCAATTATCCGCTTATCATTCGTTACGGATTCTACTTGAATATACATACACCCACACTTGTGCCTTACGAGTATAGAAAATCTAGTCGCGTTTCCAGCAAACGAAAAGCACCCAGATACTTGTGTGGCAGGCAATATTACATTAATATTTCACAGCGGGCAGGCAATGAAATATGACAGAGAAATATCTATTTCACTAATTCTGTCTAAAATTCTGAATACAAAAGAGTTTTTCATATGCAAAGGCAAACACTATAGCGAACATGCTTGCATTCCGAACTTTGTCTTCAGGCACTTAAAGTTGTGTGTTTATATCCAATGTAGAAACAAATTTGCTTGGCCCATTGATTTTACGTGTGAAAACACAACAATCTCTGTCAAGTTTATTCAGAGTGAGAGGAGAAAATGGGGACAGTGGGCGAAGGGGGGCCAAGGTATTCTGGAAAATTCCGATGACCGTTTTCACGTGCGGTTTGTCACGCCATGTTGAACCATCACGAGGTGATTGAGGTCATGGTTCGGATCATCACGTAGGTTTGGTTGGGGCCAACTCAGCTGAAGCGCGGCAATGATTTTTTGTTTTCAAAGTGGTGTGTTCATGATTTTGGTTGTTTCGGCTTCTGCCGTTGCCAAGTGACGTTTCCGAACGTTATTCGATTTGTTTTTGGAGCACTTTGTAAATGACTTTTTACGGTAGCGAGCTTTGTAAATGACTTCAAATGCATCGTTGTCTGTCTAGTGCCCGGTATCAGCGAGGTGGACCATAATCGCACTGGTTATTTATTTCTTGCAACCCGTGCTAAACCATGCCGGTTTATGTTCTCCGGTCCATTGTGAGCACTGTCTCATCGTTCATCCTACATAATTTGCCAACATGTGCAAGTGAAGGAATATGAAATCTTAGATGAGGAGAACATGGACAGGTTGTCCTTCAGGTTTATGCGGAGCTGTTACCGGCTTGTAAACACCAAACGTAGAAAGGCGGCTGGATATCTTCGTGCAAGTGCTTCTCCAGATATCTTAGTATATCACCACTCGTATCGCCTTTAAACGGGAGATGCAAGCATAGTTCTTTTTTCGGCTGTGATTGGTTTTGGTAGCGGCGGCTTTTCTATGAGGCTCTTCTAGATGAAAAGCTCCGGGTATCCATTATTCATATTTGTCAGTTGCAAAAAGACCAACTGTTGTCACTGTAACAGTCAATCAATTTATGACTGACCTGACTAACGCCTCCAGCTCAGCGTTCTTTGACCTTCAAGTAGATCTGAACGAATTTGGAAAATACACGTGAGAGCACGTTGTGCTATGGTTATTTCCTTTTTACAGGCATTTGGCCTTGATATTCAGTATCCTTGTCAAATTCTAATTTGAGATATCTTTCCGTTAAAGACAGTGGTCAGGTGATATCGATCAATCAGTTAAAGTTACTTTCCGTGTCGTGTTTTGATCTACGGTTCGAGGTTCAGACCCCATCAAAATCACCTCCCCATTTATTTCTGAGCAACCCTCCAGATTGCTTTCTCTATGGCAAGTTTGATTGGCAATGATATACCTTGATTAAACAGTATCAGCGATCACATTCAAATCAACAGATTGAGGATTATACTGGAAGAAATTCTGATGAGTTTCTCTGTCGTGATGTAACGATCAAAGTTGGTTAGTTTTGTGGATAGATTGGTGTCATAATTAGTTAGCCTGCATCGGTGGATATTGGACTCCAGACCTGCTTTAACAACGAACGGAGTGATACGATTTAATAGCAGGCATGAAACAACTCAGAGCAGAGATAATCAAGACCAAAAGAGCAAGCCTACCAATCAATCAGTAGCTGTTATAACACCCAACATGCAAACGAACAACATGTCCTACGAAACTCATGGTTTGGTCTTTATTACTACGAGTCTCTTCACCGTACCTGTTTGGCAGGCTGATCTTAATGATAAACAATCACTCACCCCCTCCATTATTGTAGAAGACTCATTTTGGTGCATTTCAGTTTCTATGTACTTGTGGGCACATAGAAGCGGGTTCACACAAGCTTTCACGCTGCATTTTTGACAAGCACTGCAGTACTGACCCCGGTCTATGTGCACACCAACTCACTC